GACGGGAGCTCACTCCGTCATGTGGCACACTCGGGTCTCAAACTGCTGAACTACTGACCTGCCACAGCCTGCAGTTCAGCATCTTAACCACTTGAGCCACCTCAGCTCCAACAGTATTGTAGTGTTTGAATATATGAAAAGTAACTGATGAACAGGGTTGAACTGCTCATGAATCAGTAAATGGGCAATCAGCTGCCTGTTCACATCCAGTGAATGGACAGGGAACTGAACCGATGGGAGTTAGAGCATCCCCTAGTTTTAACCCAGTGCAAGAGCAATCCATATCTATTCAATTCCAGATAGAACGTAAAGCTGATCTCTTGTCATCTTCTTTCCATTCTCTCTTCTTTCATTTGCCCATGAATTAGAGGCCAATGCTGGGTTCCAACTTCAGTGATTTATCCGGTACCTGTCATTCTTCAGTCAAAGTCTCTCTACTGCAAGAAAAAAAGGCTACATTCTTGAGTGTGGGGTCATGAGTCTTGCAATCCAAAAGTTTAAGAACCGATTGAAGTGTTTTCTTGCTATCTTTTAAAACAAAAAATGCGATGAAAAAAGAGTGTGAAAAAAGAATGCCTCCTCGTTCCCATACATGACAATGATAGAAAGAGGGCAAGCTTTCCTTTGAGGTCCTTTGAAGGAATCAACTCAGACTGAAGCACTCAAAAGAAAAGAAAACGCACCCCAACAACAACAAAGCAAGGTTTTTCTTTTGTCCTAAGAATGTCTTTCAAATTGCCTTTCATTGTGCTGTGCAGAAAAAAGTACTTGGCTTTACAATAGTGGAAGACAGGCACTGGCCCCACCAACCTCCATGCCACTGTGGAAATAATTCAAGATATACAGATTATTTTACCAAGAGGCCTACTGATCCAGGGTAGCCTGAAACCATGAAAACTGCTATTAAACTGAAATTATTGAGCATATAGAGGACCAAAACATACTGAAGGAATAGCCAGCATGCTTCTGCAAAGGGAACCAGCCTTTCATCAACTTTTGTGAGTTCTTCAAAAGGGTTTAACAATTATGTGGATAGGTGATCTGAGAGACATTGGTCCTGGTCACACATGCCGGAAAACGTAGGGGGGAGGCATGGCGATTTGTGCCGTCGCAATTTGATGCGCCCCAATGCGATCAGACACAACGGCATTGTTTTCATTGGCGGGTGTTTCCGGTGCGCTCCAACCAGGAAGCAGGGATGCCAGAGGAGCGCGCGAAGCGATCATGTGGAGAGCATCCGGCTGCAGCCCGTCGCAACCAGTTGATAGTGGCTTTTCCTGGGTACTTTTAAACTCCGCTTCTTTGGCTGACTGCTACGGGTTGCTGATGGTATGGGACGCTGGCCAGATGTGTCCATTTGATCTCGCCAGTAAAATCCGGCCGGCATTTGTGAGTATCCCATGGCAAATTCTGAGTGTCATCAGGGCCATTATATACTACTTGGATTTTTGACCAGTTCATTCACCAATGTCTACTGAATAAACTTAGCAGTCATAGATAAAAGGACAGATCCCCTTATGGACTAAAAATGGTTAAAATTATGAGAAGCAGAGAATAGAATGGAAGTTTGGTGTAGTGGTTAAGTGTGTGGACTCTAATCTGGGAGAGCCGGGTTTGATTCCCCACTCCTCCACTTGCTACTGTTGGATGACCTTGGGCAAGCCATAGTTCTGTCAGAGCTGTCCTTGAAAGAGCAGTTCTTGAAAGAGCTCTCTCAGCCCCACCTACCTCACAGGGTGTTTGTTGTGAGGAGGGGGAAAGAGGAGGGGAAGGGAAAGGAGTTTGTAAGCTGCTCTGAGACTCCGAGTGAAGGATGAGGTATAAATCCAATGTCTTCTCTTCTCTTCTTCTAAGCAGTGTAGTGCCTAAAGTATTGATGCTATTCGATTTTTTAATAAATGATCTTTAATTTGGAGACTGTGGTATAGTGGCCTTGTTTGTGGATGATACCAACTCATTCAGGATGCTGAATGCTCAAGCAGATTGTAATAGCTCCAGTAGGATCTCTCCAAATTGGATGAGTGGACAGCAACATGGCAAATGATGTTCAATTAAAGTAAGTGTAAGGAGATTCCATATTGAAACAAAATATGAGAAAATAGTAGAATGTTGAGTGGTTGCTATAGTGGTTTTTAAAGTTATAATTTTCCTAAAAATTCAAGTATTTGAATCAAGGATTGTCCTTTATACTTGCAAAAAATGCCCTTTATACTACATTTCAGTTTTTTTACCTTTTATCTTTGCCCCTTACCCCTTTTTTATTCTGTGTTCCCTCAAAAAGTTCAAAATAAAAATTATTTTTTAAAAAAGAAACAAAATATCCCCACCCACCTTTGTATTTATGCTGATAGGTTCTGAACTAGCAGAGACTGAGTGGGAAAGAGGTGTTGGGATTGTCGATGACAGCACAATTAAATTGTCAAATCAGCATGTGGTGGCAGTGAAAAAATTAAACTCCATCCTGGAGATTATTAGAAAAGGGATTGGAAAACAATGGCCCATATTGTAATGTCCAGACTGTTGGAAGTTCCAGATGCAGTGTCCCCTATCTCAGACCTCCAGACTGAGTGGCAAAAGAGACTAGATAGCTAGATAGGCACAGTGACCTTTCTTCCTGTCTTTACTCTTCCACCACTGTCCTCTTTGAATGCAGATTGTGTTCTCAGGGATCAATTTCCCCTTCCTCCTTGTCTCTCACTCTGGATGAAGACATGCCAAGAGAGGGATATGCAGTCCTGTCTTGGCACCATGAGGCAGATGGGCCTCTCACCATCTGCTTCCATCCTTTAGCTAGTAAATTAGTAATCTATCAATCCCTGCACTTTCCTATCCAAAGTGTACTACTCAAATAAAGAGAGAAGTATTTATCTTCTAAACTTACAATGTGGCTCTGTGTAGCTTTGTAATCTGAGTAACCTGGTAAAGGGACACTCCTGCATTTGTAGCTTTATTTAAGCATTCTGCTAACTAATGGTGACTGGACTAACCACGCCAGTTAAACTCAATACAGACTCATTTGGAATACTGTGCAGTTCTGTTCACCATATTTATTTATTTACTAGCAGTAAAGCCCATTATAAAAGCAATATAACGAGCTCTAGAAAGATGTGATGTGTAACGAATGCATAGACTGAAAGCAGGTTAAGTACATATTAGCAGTATGTAATAGAAAGGCTAAAATGTGAAAGTAAAGTCTCACATACCTTATGTTACACAAGAACTTGTGTCCAAGGTCACACAATGTGAGCCAGAAAATGCAGCACACAGAGCTCTGTGGTGTAATTTCTACAATTGGGCAGTCTGCAAAGTAATTTTGTGTTGGACGTCCTTGTCATGGAACTCCACAAAGTCACAAGCTCGTCAGCCAGGAGGGCCCAACTGTCCCCTAATTTTTCCCTTTTTTTTGTATACTTACCTGGCTTTGTCATATGTAGTGTGTGTCTTCTCACTTCTTACTTTGTCTTGTGTAATCTATTAGGATTTCCCAATGTCAAGTATAGTCTGTACAAAGTAAAACATTAGTTCATGTTAGTCAGTGAGGATGCATTTTGCAAATATGAGACATTGGGTTTTTTTGTCTAAACATCTCCTTCCTCTGCTCTGGCTGAAGTGTGTTCTACTTTTTTGCTTTTTTGCACACTTAACTGGGTTTGTCACATGTAGTCTGTGTCTTGTTTATTGCCACATTTTCCCCCCTTTAAACATTTGTCTATGTGTATCTGTGTCTGCCTATTTCCCTCCTTGGTCAAAGCTAAACCAAGACCACAAAAGTGAGGAACAATGCCTAGTTATAATTTCTCCAGGAAGCCAAGTTGTGACCTGGGCTCCTGGTTTTCTCCTTCCTTTTTTCACTGTAAATATGTATCTGGATGTCTGCATCTGTCTCTGTCAGTTTGCCTCTCTCTTTGTAATTGGTTTTCAGACTCTGAGTGTGGTTAAAGGTTCCCCCCACTTGCAAGTTTTATCCCAGTGTCACACACTCTCTGTATTTTTTTAATGTATATGTCATGCTCCACTTCAGCTAGTTGTTCCTGCACTCCTCCTGTTTGTGTGTGCCTATGTAGATCTGTCTGTGACTGTGTCTATATTTGTGCTTTGCAGCATGCCTTGGGTTTTTGGCTTTCTGTTTTCTGTGTGTCTGGTCCCATCCTCTGTCTCTGCTTATGTGTATATCCACTAGCTTTTTTGTGATAACTTGGGCTGGTTTCCCCCCTGCCTCCGCTAAGCTGACACCTTTTTACTTGGTGTTTTTTTTCCCCATTCTAGAAAGTGTTGCCTCAGCAAACTTGGCTTGGAGGCTAAAGATCGTGGGTTTTGTCACCTGAGGGAATCAATCATCATCTGGCAAGGAGACCAGAGCAAAGCAACCATCTTCTGAGGAAAGTTTTGGTGGGCACAGCTTCTGTGGGCAGGACTCAGTCAACACAGCCAGTAGATAGGGACAGCTTCTGAGTGACACATCATGGAGCCAACTGATTTAGGGGCATGTGGAATGTTCAGAAAGTGCCACCCCACTACTCAATTATATATAAGGAAAGATTTTCTAGACCTTCCTCCCCCTGAAGGTCTCAGGGCGGTATACATCACACTTAAAACATACAATAGTTAGTTAAAACATCAATCAATAATTAATCAAAATAAAATCATTGAGAAAATACATTGTCAAGAAATACATGCAGAACTGGAACATGGCTGACAATGATTAAGAGACAATCAGGGAGAATAAGTGATTTGAGTATGTCCATTTCTTTCAAACATGTCAAGAAAGTTAGTTGCTGGTTACATAATAAAGTGTAGAGATGTTGGCTAGTTTTCTGACTGACTACTACCAAACTTGAAGAAAGAGTATTTTGTTCAACCTGGGGCCAATCCTTTATGCAAAAATTCTATGTTCTTGTCTTTTGCCACATAGTTTTCTATTCCATTTCTTGAGCTGTCCAAAGTGAAAAGCATCCTTGAATGCGACAATCCAGACAAAAATTTAGGCTCTGTGTTAAGAGTCATCCACAATACTCACTGTTTTCTTTGTTACTAATATCAAGAGGAAGAGCAGGCCTTCTTTCAAATTGTGTGGCCATTCCTTCATTTTTCACCTTCTCTGTGACTCTGGGTGGTTCTGTGTTTGAGCTGTACTTCGATAAAATCTGCAGAATTTGTGTTTGAATGACAGTTATTTCAGGAGCTGGCAGAGGAGTGGTGAGTATGTTTCTGTAGTCCGATATGGCAGGAGGAGCAGGTGTTTTAAGACAGTCCAGATACGTGTTTGAGGGCAGGACAGGCGCAACAGCTTCTTCCACGTACCCTTTATTTGGTACCATCTGGATTACATACAGTGGTTCAGGCTCTTTTTCCAGAGAATGAGGATCTGGATGGGTAACTTCATATGTATTATTAGACGCATCTGACAGGTTACTCTCTGGGGATTTTGGTAAAGTGGTATTTTTTCTAGAGGGAACTTTCAATCCAGGTGTACAGAAAGTGGCCGCTGCAGGTGAAGCCATATAATCATAATCACACACTTTACTCTTTTGCCCTGGTGTAGCTAGGTTTTCTTTTGATGCCAATACCACTGATGGCCTGTTCATCTTATTAGCTTGCCTACTTTTTTTTGCATTGTTGAGCAAGAAGTTTGTTTGGTCTTCTGTCAAATATACAGTGTCATTGTCCACACAAAGGGGCCCTTTAATACAGAACTGTTCTATCTTGGGTGATGGGTATCCAGAATAATCCTCTCTTGGCTGTTCCTTCTGTTCATGGGCTTGATGTAATATATTCACAGTGTTCCAAGTACTGGGGAGAGCATATTTTGAAAGCCCAAAATCTGAAAGTCGTGGAATTCGCACCAGAGGATCAGGGCTTGAAGAATTTTTAGGGCAAGCAAGGTTTTTCAGTTCCTCTTGATCAGACTTGGCAGGTTCAGGATCAGTTTCAGCTTCATCTTTTTTTGCTGCTTTCCTAATAACGGGCTTGTATCCGTATTTCTCAAAAATGTCTCTTATTTTTCCAAGGTCTGCTGCATTTCTGTTCATCAGAACTTTGCTGGCCTTTATGAAGTCATATGTAGCATCTCGTTTTTCAGATTTCTTAATAAGAACACTATCAGCTTCACCCTTCAGTGTCCTGATTTCAGAGTACAGTTCATGTAAATATGTCATTGGGGAGTCATCTTCAAATTCAGTTTCATCTCCACGAAAAGCTTGCTTCAGCTGCTCAGCCGGTCTCTCCAAAGTGGTCACTAAGGCTCACAGTTTACTGAAGAAACTTCCTGTTAGATCCATGCTGGAGGAAACCCTGAAACACACACACGGTGAGCTTCTAGTAAGTGTTTCCCATTTACCTCCACGCAAATGAATAAGAATTAGAAGCCCTATCTCCCCAACAATCCTACACCGAAAGAGGGGAGCAGGAGAAACCCACTCTGCCAGTCCCCCCAAGCCTGATTGTGTGCCCCACCTGACTGGAACATGTGTAGACAAGGGCAACCAAGATGATTAATGGGTTTGATAGCGATGTTTGAACTCTCCCTGGTTCAGGTCACAACCTGTTTCTCAGTTGCAAACAGGAAATTCAGTTCTCAATGGATTGTTGATTCACTTGCTGGCCTATATGTGGTGGTCTGGCATATTGCTTCAGTTACCACTTCTTTAAAACAGCTCAGGTGGCTTTTTGTGTTCTCACACAGCCCAATGGGCTTATATTCCCCTCTCTCCATTGCTGTGCTGCTGCTCCATTTGCAGGCAATAATTTAAATAGCCAATTAAATCAGTCACAAATCATATGGATCAGAACTAAGTAATTGCTGTATTTTTAAAAAGCCATTACAGTTCTATATTAATCGATTTGATCTTCGCGGCTGGAGTTATGGTGGACCGGATCGCTACAATAGCGGTACCATGGTCGGACCACCAGGCCCTGAAGGCTCATCTGAATGTGCCACCCCGACCCCGCTTAGGCGGCGAGCGGATTTTTGCTCGCCCGCGAGGCCAGATGGACCTGATGCGGCTCCAGATGGCATTGCGGGAGCCAAAGCCCCCTGGCAGCTCGTTGGATGAGCTTGTGGAGGACTGGCATGATCGGCTCTCCGCAGCCATCGACGAGATTGCTCCCAGGCGTCCTCTCCGGACTCGCATGAGGTGGGTGCCCTGGTATACCCAGGAGTTGTGCCAGCTGAAGCGAGAACTGAGACGACTAGAGAGACGGTGGCGTCGCGCTCGCAACGAAGCGTCAAGAGCATCTTATAGGACGTTTATGAAGGCCTATGAGATGGCAGTCAAGGCCGCGAAGAGGGAGTTCTTCGCGGCCAGGATTGCATCTGCTAGCTCACGCCTGGCACAATTATTTAGTATGATTTGGTAATTGACAACTCTGCCACAGGGCAGGCAAAATGTGAGGGAATTGGACATCGGCTGTGAGGCATTTGCGAGCTATTTTGCAGAGAAAGTCTTGGCGCTCCGCCGTGACCTCCCCGC